GTTATAGTGGCGTTGTGGTGGTGTAGGTTATAGTGGCGTTGTGGTGGTGTAGGTTATAGTGGCGTTGTGGTAGTGTAGGTTATAGTGGCGTTGTGGTGGTGTTATAGTGGCGTTGTGGTGGTGTAGGTTATAGAGGCGTTGTGGTGGTGTTATAGTGGCGTTGTGGTGGTGTAGGTTATAGTGGCGTTGTGGTAGTGTAGGTTATAGTGGCGTTGTGGTGGTGTAGGTTATAGTGGCGTTGTGGTGGTGTAGGTTATAGTGGCGTTGTGGTAGTGTAGGTTATAGTGGCGTTGTGGTGGTGTAGGTTATAGTGGCGTTGTGGTGGTGTAGGTTATAGTGGCGTTGTGGTGGTGTAGGTTATAGTGGCGTTGTGGTGGTGTAGGTTATAGTGGCGTTGTGGTGTAGGTTATAGTGGCGTTGTGGTGGTGTAGGTTATAGTGGCGTTGTGGTGGTGTAGGTTATAGTGGCGTTGTGGTGGTGTAGGTTATAGTGGCGTTGTGGTGGTGTAGGTTATAGAGGCATTGTGGTGTTATAGTGGCGTTGTGGTGGTGTAGGTTATAGTGGCGTTGTGGTAGTGTAGGTTATAGTGGCGTTGTGGTAGTGTAGGTTATAGTGGCGTTGTGGTGGTGTAGGTTATAGTGGCGTTGTGGTAGTGTTATAGTGGCGTTGTGGTGGTGTAGGTTATAGAGGCGTTGTGGTGGTGTTATAGTGGCGTTGTGGTGGTGTTATAGTGGCGTTGTGGTGGTGTAGGTTATAGTGGCGTTGTGGTAGTGTAGGTTATAGTGGCGTTGTGGTGTAGGTTATAGTGGCGTTGTGGTGGTGTAGGTTATAGTGGCGTTGTGGTGGTGTAGGTTATAGTGGCGTTGTGGTGGTGTAGGTTATAGTGGCGTTGTGGTGGTGTAGGTTATAGTGGCGTTGTGGTAGTGTAGGTTATAGTGGCGTTATGGTGGTGTTATAGTGGCGTTGTGGTGGTGTTATAGTGGCGTTGTGGTGGTGTAGGTTATAGTGGCGTTGTGGTAGTGTAGGTTATAGTGGCGTTGTGGTAGTGTAGGTTATAGTGGCGTTGTGGTGGTGTTATAGTGGCGTTGTGGTGGTGTAGGTTATAGTGGCGTAGGTTATAGTGGCGTTGTGGTGGTGTAGGTTATAGTGGCGTTGTGGTAGTGTAGGTTATAGTGGTGTTATAGTGGCGTTGTGGTAGTGTAGGTTATAGTGGCGTTGTGGTGTTATAGTGGTGTAGGTTATAGTGGCGTTGTGGTGGTGTAGGTTATTGTGGCGTTGTGGTAGTGTAGGTTATAGTGGCGTTGTGGTGTAGGTTATAGTGGCGTGGTGGTGTAGGTTATAGTGGGGCTGTGGTGATTTTATAGTGGCGTTGTGGTGGTGTAGGTTATAGTGGCGTTGTGGTAGTGTAGGTTATAGTGGCGTTGTGGTAGTGTAGGTTATAGTGGCGTTGTGGTGGTGTAGGTTATAGTGGCGTTGTGGTAGTGTAGGTTATGGTGGCGTTGTGGTAGTGTAGGTTATAGTGGCGTTGTGGTAGTGTAGGTTATAGTGGCGTTGTGGTAGTGTAGGTTATAGTGGCGTTGTGGTAGTGTAGGTTATGGTGGCGTTGTGGTGGTGTAGGTTATAGTGGCGTTGTGGTGGTGTTATAGTGGCGTTGTGGTGGTGTAGGTTATAGTGGCGTTGTGGTAGTGTAGGTTATAGTGGCGTTGTGGTGGTGTTATAGTGGCGTTGTGGTGTAGGTTATAGTGACGTTGAGGTGGTGTAGGTTATAGTGGCGTTGTGGTAGTGTAGGTTATTGTGGCGTTGTGGTGGTGTAGGTTATAGTGGCGTTGTGGTAGTGTAGGTTATAGTGGCGTTGTGGTGGTGTAGGTTACAGTGGCGTTGTGGTAGTGTAGGTTATAGTGGCGTTGTGGTGGTGTTATAGTGGTGTTGTGGTAGTGTAGGTTATAGTGGCGTTGTGGTGGTGTTATAGTGGCGTTGTGGTGGTGTTATAGTGGCGTTGTGGTGGTGTTATAGTGGCGTTGTGGTGTTATAGTGGCGTTGTGGTGGTTATAGTGGCGTTGTGGTGGTGTAGGTTATAGTGGCGTTGTGGTAGTGTAGGTTATGGTGGCGTTGTGGTGTAGGTTATAGTGGCGTTGTGGTGGTGTAGGTTATAGTGGCGTTGTGGTGGTGTAGGTTATAGTGGCGTTGTGGTAGTGTAGGTTATGGTGGCGTTGTGGTGGTGTATGTTATAGTGGCGTTGTGGTGTAGGTTATAGTGGCGTTGTGGTGTAGGTTATAGTGGCGCTGTGGTGGTGTAGGTTATAGTGGCGTTGTGGTGTAGGTTATAGTGGCGTTGTGGTGTAGGTTATAGTGGCGTTGTGTAGGTTATTGTGGCGTTGTGGTGGTGTAGGTTATAGTGGCGTTGTGGTGGTGTAGGTTATAGTGGCGTTGTGGTGGTGTAGGTTATAGTGGCGTTGTGGTGTAGGTTATAGTGGCGTTGCTAGTAGTTTGATGTTGTTAGTAGGCTTTACGTCGCTATAATAGTAGTAGTAGTTGTTGTATTGTTATTGTAGTGATGGCAGCATTTGGTCACTGTGAGCAGTTCTGATAATGTTGGTAGTGGAAGTGGTGGTATTGTGAGCAGTGGTGACATGTTCGCAGCCGTAGACGTGGCGGTGATTGTGAGAAGTGGTGGTATGTTGGCAGGGGTCGAGCAGTGGTGGGGATGGTTGTGAGTAGTGGTGATATGTTGGCAGGGGTAGAGTAGCGACAAGGATGATTGTGAGCTGTGGTAATAATGATGGCAACGGCAGAGATGGTGATAATTGTGAACAGTGTTGATAATGTTTGCAGCGGTAGAGTAGTGGTAGCAGTGGTGATAGTGGAAGTGAGCGTGGTGGTAGTAGAAAGTGTGAATGGTGGTTGTAGTATGATGATGGTGAGTGAATGTGATGGTGACAGTGGTAGGAGTGCTGTGGTAGTAGTGAATGTAGGGGTGTGGTGGTGACAGTGTTGTGGTAGGGTGGTGTGAGTGTAATGGTGATAGTGTAGTGGCGATGGTGATCAGTGTAGTGGTGGTGGTAGCAGTGACTGCTGTTGACACTACACTGTCGATTTGGGCTCTAAGTACTGATTGATAAGAGATTAAGCCACCCAAGTGGTGACACGGGCATGAATAGCCCGTAATTTAAGTACTGTACTAGTAGTGTGGACTTTGCAATGTTACCCATTTTGCACCGACAGAAATACATGTTATGGTGTGATGGTGGAACTAAGTATCATAGTAATCATGTGTTGGTTGTATCCAGAGGGGTGACAGTGAACAGCAAGCTAATAGGGTGAAACATAAATACTTGGCTGTTGTGAAGTGTACATGTTCCGTACAGTAGATCCTTATCACCAAACTCATGTATTTGTTCACTTTCTGGTGTACTTTTTTCCCCAAGTTTTCTGATATCAAGTCTTGTTCCAGCTTTTCACGTATCATTATGCAAAGATATTTTCCTCACTATGAAAATTGTGTTCATTACTGTAGTCTTATATTAAGAGACTTAATTCACTTGTATTTACAGATCAGTCTTAAAAGCCAGCGTTAAGGGGATATATAAATCTTGTCACTTCTCGTTCCTTATGACTACAATTCCAAGTCATTTGCTCTTATTGAGAATAAAAAACAATCTTACTGAGGTTTGAAATGTTTCAGTTAAATTTCTAGGTGAAATTTGTAAGAGTTGTGCCACATTTTTTAAGCAAGCTCGTACTGGTCGTAATAGAGCCTTGCCTCACATTCTCAAGTTTTCACTGCTTTAACTCCTGCACCACCTTGAGAGGTTAGGTTACTTTAGTAAATGATCACCACTGATCAAGGCCTATTTCGAACGCCTATTTATTACCCAATATATCCAAATAATGAAAATATTGGGATTTTTCACTTAAGATTTGTATTTTTTTTGGTTCTGCGTGTTATATAATTATACATAACATTTATTTTATATTTTCTTGGCAAGTTTTGATGCTCCTTTTTGGCCATTTTAAACTATATTCCATTTTGGTCATAAAAATGTACTGGTATTTAGAGTATGATATTGATATAGGTTTTATTCAGCGTGTTTTGATTTTTTGGGGGCATTAATTTCTGCATTCATTAGTTTTCTGTGTGATCTCTGTATACTTAAATTATGGTACATATGTGTATAGTAATTTGTGATAATAATAGTTCTGTACCAGTAGTAGTAATGTAAATTAATCTTTAACATTTTTAACTTTTTATTATTATGTACCGATTTTTTAATGACTTTATATCGATCAAGAATTATTTTAAATTTGTATACTAGACCTCAATGGACTATTTTTATATATTGACCAAATAACACAAAACTAGTTATTTTTTTAATAAATTTCTGGTCATCATTTTAGCACATTTCCTTGCATTCACCATAAGGTACCACTTTATACACCACTATTAACTCCAATAAATCAAAGGGGGGAATCAGTTTTAAAAGGTTTTTAGTGTAAAATTATAGTCATTTTTTCTTTGTTAAGTTCTCTGTATTTTCACTTTAATAATATTTTCAAATAAATTGTACTCATATCACATGGTATATGTTTCCACTCACCTGATAATATAAGAAAGAAAGTATTTGACTAGCAACTTAAAAATTAACACAGATTTGATATTTCATTTATCTTCGTCCAAGCTGAGCTCCTAAGATAGGAACACGTCACAATAATATTAAGTCGCCCTATCTGCACTTACAATCACTTCAGAGAAATAAATATTATTATCTAATCACTTCACTAGCTTTTTGTAAGAAAAAACTTGAGGATTTCATAAATGTAAAAAATAGGCCTCATTATTATTATAGTGAGACAACTGTAACATTACTGGGAGCTCTTATTTATATACTGTATATTGATATATAAAAAAGTTAACACAGCCTGTAGGAGCTTATGACCGAGCTTAACTTCACCACTGGCCACCGACGCGGCCTCATCCTTGTGTGGTGAAGAGAAACCAAGGAATTCAATGCATTGGACATTTTATTTATACTGTACAAAACGATTTTCTAGTAAAATTAGACGTTTTGTGGAACAAAATAGGCTTTTTACAGGCATATATTACAAGATAAGCATGCACCAACAAGGAAAAATGTACACAATTATATCACTACCCATGAATTGCTTAAAGCAAAAAAATGTCGCTAAAGCTAAACATTGATGAACTGAGCTAGAACATTTTTTTCATAAAATGAAAATAAAATACTGCGACCGAATTAAATCACAGACACTTTTTAAAAACTTTGACTTTGTACCATCTGAAAAAGTGAATTTTTCAGTCATAGGGTGAACTGGGATATTTTCGGTGTGAGGAGCCGGGCTGCCGTGGCTGTCATATCACAGCTTCACCACCACGGCGGCCCACACGAACAGCTGCAGGAGCTGCTCGCTGCCCTCCGGTGGAACAGCTGCAGGAGCTGCTCGTTGCTCTCCAGCAGAACAGCTACAAGAGCTGCTCTTGTCCACTCGTAGAAAGACAGGCTGCTCAACGCTAACCCCCCAGCTCGCCATGGTCGCTAAGGTACACAAGCCCAGAACCGCACCAGGGGACTTGGAATAGACGGAACCGATGCGATTCCTGGTCCCAGAGGGCGGTTCGTGCCCGGGCGAGTAGAACCACAGCTACGTGCTACAGGGTTAGGGGCGTGGGTAAGTACGAGGAGGCATGCAATGTCAGAGCATCAGAGCAGCAGTGATCGTCATCCCATGATAGAAACGGTGGTCACACTTGCGTCTACACGACCAAACACTCATACCACAACACTTAATAGGTATATTATATTATATAATATAGCTCATTATGTACATAAATATTACTGTTTACAAATAATCTTAGAATTTTTCGAGTTGTGATAGGGCGACGTGGGTCGTTCAGACGCTGGTAAAACAACCGACCCATCTCATGGTGGCGGCTGGTGGTGGTTCGATCACCTGTTGGTCCCTGATTGTACTTTCAACTGTTGGCGTGGTTGAGATCACAAAGAGTTGTCACGGAGAGTTGGCTCAACTTGACACGAAGAGCCGATCCATCTGTAGGGATCGCGCGTCCAGCCCTCCACGGAGAGATTCCTTGCACTTGACCAGGCTACCACTCTCTTTCCCCATGATGAACATACTCAGGTGCATGGCAGTCGCTGCGGCTACTTGCTGCTGCTGCTGCTGCTGTTGGGTCGTCACGGGGGAAAGGGGCGGGGAATGATGAAGTGGGCTGGACACCACGACGGACTTGGACGGCGAGAAGTGATGATGATGATGATGATGAGCATGATGAGTGACTTGTTGCTGCTGGAGATGATGATGTGGGGGCAGAGCTGGAGGCGGAGACGCTGGCTGTTGGGGCGGAGGTTGGGGCACAGGCTTGACGGGCGTTATTGCCATGGACTTGGCAGGGGACTTGGTCTCCATCGGTGACGGACACTTGGGCTGCACGTCCTCGTACAGCACGCAGATGGAGCCATTCTCTCCGATCCGGTACGCCACTTCCATGGGATCCACCCACATGGTGAGCTCCGATGGGAAGAGAGATCTGAGGAACGACACAGCTAAGCCCATCATGAACCCAGCTCTGGCGATCAGCGGGTCCAAGTGGCCGTTGATTCTGATGCAGCGGTAACCGGAACCCTTGAAAGGCTTGTCGGGGAACCAGTGGTCGGTGTAGTGTCGGAGGAGAATATTGCACACATTCTCGCGAAACCTATCCAGCTGCTTCTCCGTCAAACCGCTGTTATTCAAGCGTGCCAAATCGACTAGGAAATTGGCCGCCGATTTAATCTCTAATCTCATATTCGTGGCAACACTTGGAGATCAACAGCTTTATGGAAAATTTTGCCGGAACGGAACAACACACTTGGAGTTATGGGCAAGTCTTGGTCGTGGGTGAGTTTCGCAGACCATCAGACGGGGACTAGTAAATCTGGCACTTGTCGGAAAATGAGGATGGCGCTTCGTATATTCTTTGGTATTGGCCTTTTGTTACACTGACTATTAGGATGGTAAACCCATTAACATCACAGTCTGTATCTGTCCTTGGACGGGGGATACTGGGAGTGCGGGTCACGCTTCTCGGCACATCCTCCTCCTCTTACGTCTCTCCTCTGACTGAAGATCGGGAGCGCGTGAGCTTGTTGTTGGCTTTCACCAAGTGACGTCATTCCGGCAGCCAATCAGCGCGCGCGCGGGGCTCCGTTTCCCGTCACGTGACCCGTCCTGGCAGCCATTTTCTAAACAAAGAACGGCTTCTCCCACAAACCTGGACGCCAAGCCAGGAGGCTAACAAAGAATAATACTGACGGCTAGACGCCACAGAATTCCCCCAAACCGACCAAAGCATTCCCCTGCTAGGCTTGAAAATTCTTTCTCTGAACCTAACATAAGTTTTAGAGTACAATCTGGCCATGCACACCCGCGATGCGACGAACCTTATCAATATCGGAAGTTTCACCAGTCTCTCACTAGAAAGCTGCCTGCACTGGCCCGACTTGAGCCTGTTTAGCGAAGGAAACTCCACGGTTGACCAAAGACATAGCTGGTGAAACAGGCACTATCTCAGCAGACTCTTAAAACAGGCAGCTTTAAACTTTGGATTTATACGCAACATATTTCCAACTTAAAACCAATAAAATCGGTTTTGTATTTAAGTGTAAAAGCGGTTTTTGTGCATTGAGATACACTATATACATATAAATTGTATTATATTTATATATATATATATATATATATATATATATATATATATATATATATATATATATATATTATATATATATATATATATATACATATGTAATAATGTAGACAGATTTTATCAATATGCAGGCTGGTAGGCTTACAAACATTAACCAATTAACCAACATACAGGGAGGTACATTGACCAACATACAGGGAGGTACATTGACCAACATACAGGGAGGTACAAACATAGACCAACATACAGGGAGGTACAAACATTGACCAACATACAGGGAGGTACAAACATTGACCAACATACAGGGAGGTACAAACATAGACCAACATACAGGGAGGTACAAACATTGACCAACATACAGGGAGGTACAAACATTGACCAACATACAGGGAGGTACAAACATTGACCAACATACAGGGTGGTACAAACATAGACCAACATACAGGGAGGTACAAACATAGACCAACATACAGGGAGGTACAAACATTGACCAACATACAGGGAGGTACAAACATAGACCAACATACAGGGAGGTACAAACATAGACCAACATACAGGGAGGTACAAACATTGACCAACATACAGGGAAGTACAAACATTGACCAACATACAGGGAGGTACAAACATTGACCAACATACAGGGAGGTACAAACATTGACCAACATACAGGGTGGTACAAACATAGACCAACATACAGGGAGGTACAAACATTGACCAACATACAGGGAGGTACAAACATTGACCAACATACAGGGAGGTACAAACATTGACCAACATACAGGGAGGTACAAACATTGACCAACATACAGGGAGGTACAAACATTGACCAACATACAGGGAGGTACAAACATTGACCAACATACAGGGAGGTACAAACATTGACCAACATACAGGGTGGTACAAACATAGACCAACATACAGGGAGGTACAAACATTGACCAACATACAGGGAGGTACAAACATTGACCAACATACAGGGAGGTACAAACATTGACCAACATACAGGGTGGTACAAACATAGACCAACATACAGGGAGGTACAAACATTGACCAACATACAGGGAGGTACAAACATTGACCAACATACAGGGAGGTACAAACATTGACCAACATACAGGGAGGTACAAACATTGACCAACATACAGGGAGGTACAAACATAGACCAACATACAGGGAAGTACACACATTGACCAACATACAGGGAGGTACAAACATTGACCAACATACAGGGTGGTACAAACATTGACCAACATACAGGGAGGTACAAACATTGACCAACATACAGGGTGGTACAAACATAGACCAACATACAGGGAGGTACAAACATTGACCAACATACAGGGAAGTACAAACATTGACCAACATACAGGGAGGTACAAACATTGACCAACATACAGGGATGTACAAACATAATGCCTTACAAACATTAAGATAAATACAGGAAGATACAAAAACACACAGGAAATATCGTAATGTATATAAACATATGTTTGTCAAGGTTGTAATTAACACCAATTTACTTGTCTTCCTCGGTAGTTTATAAGTACATATTTGTTTTGGATATACAAAACAGAGGCTGCAATATTTTGTGATATAGATACGAGAAAAAAAACCTTTTAAGTCTGTAATAGGTTGTGGCAGGCACTTTGGGGCTGACATTTGAGAGTTATCAGATAGTAATCATCTGCAACTATTTATATCTCATGATATATGAAAGCAATATTTGCCTTTTCCAGGGCTAGGATTAGCTGATGATGACATTGTATATTCTGCCGTGGTTTGGGTCATTATTGGATTATTTACCCGCGCACGAGAGCGTATATTGAAAGGTCTCTTCTTTGTTTTTGTTTAGGCCGTGTGAGTGTCGCTGGCGGGCCGACCCCGGCGGTACGCAGTCGCTGGCAGCCGGCCTCAGCGTCACCCAACATGCCACATGTACGACAATGTCGCTCCAGCTATATTATCGCCTCGTACAACGCTTTCTTTGTACTTTGAGCCATCGAGAAGCCTACATGTGTATAATATAATAAGAGGATACATGTTCAAAAGTCACGATATTATTTCTAAGCGTTACATAAATCTATTTGAGAAAATAGACAGTTGTCGTACATCAACACGGGCGAATTTGACCATATATGGGCACTACAAGCTTTGTTAAAATATTAATATAAATTGCCTTCAATATAATACACAGTTTTTATCCTGTGTATAAACGAATAACCTCATTCGATTAGATATTTTTTTGAAATGATGTGTTCTTGAACTGTACTATTATAGATGACTGGTGACACTAGAGGGAAGCCAGTAAGTGGATGGGTGACCGCTTGGTTCCTCCGCTAAATGGAAGCTGAATAATCCTAACAGCTAATGTGATATAACTTAACATTTTACAAACTAACCGCACCCGCAGTCCAAGAGCTGAAGCTCAACCTTTCTACCAACACCTAGATGATGATGACATACTCACTATAAGCAAATAATGTATATCTTATTGAGTATACCTCGACTGAAAATGAATATATTATAACACTATACCTGAATATATTATGACACTATACCTTAGCCTAATGTTTTGTAAACAAAACAACAACATGGGCGTATCCCTGCGTATGCAATTGACAATGTTATTCATGTTGTATGTTGAAATACATGAAGGTTTTCTCCCTTAGGTTACAGCGATGTAAGTACATGTTGTTGCTTGAGGTTATATATATATATTTATTTATTTATATATATACAAGAAGGTACATTGGGATTGTGAGGATACATAGAATAGTAATTACAATGTTGTAAAGCCACTAGGAAGCGCAGCGTTTCGGCCAGGAAACGCTGCTGCTATATGCGAAAGGAACGAAACTTCTATACTGCAGTAACCCGTACACACAACTCGTGCCCCTTGAGGCCAAACACAAGTCATAATAGAGAATATATTAGAGGCAAATACGGAGCCTCGGGTACGTGACTGGTGTACGCCTTCTCCTCTTGTCCCAACCTTTTCCTCTTGGATATAAACATTTCTCTTAACAACTCAATACATTACTAAATTATAAATATTTGATGTGCCTGATACGTGATTTACAGACTAGTGTCTTGTGTTAATGTTACATATGGGTAGGGATTTAGGCTGATAGGTGTAAATCGAAGCCGAGGGCGAGAGCGCGTTCGGACACGACGGGTTAGCAACAGCGAACTCTGAATCGAATGCGGCGGTGCCACGTCTGCGGCCCCGCGGCTGACGCTCCGGTGTCGCGTCTGCTTATATATCGATTTATGAGACGCGTTAGTGATTTAGGGGCCTCGCCGAGTGATTATATTGTACTTAAGAATCAAAGAGGGACGGAGTATTGATCAGCACGTCGTGGAAACCCTACTCGAGCGCATCACCCCCAACTGATGGCACCGCTGCCTCACCCTTCAGTACAGTGTTGAGGTCAAAGCAGTACTCCGCCATTAAGAGAAATTGTTGATATTTGAAGCGTAACTGGTGGCCCTTTAAATATTTGTAAGTTGACATGATGAGAGTGGTTAGAGACGTGCTGGTTATAGGGGAAAATAGCGTGGAGGTTTGTTTGTGAAAGGTGGTTGTAGGGCGGAGGAGCTGGCTGATTATGTGAAGCCTTGAGATACTCTCAGACCCCAAGTCTCCTGTGTGTGTGTGTGTGCTCTCTCTCTCTCTCTCTCTCTCGCTCTCTCTCTCTCTCTCTCTCTCTCTCTCTCTCTCTTCTCTCTCTCTCTCTCTCTCTCTCTCTCTCTCTCTCTCTCTCTCTCCCCCCTCTCTCTCTCCCCCTCTCTCTCTCCCCTCTCTCTCTCCCCCTCTCTCTCTCCCCCCTCTCTCTCTCTCCCCCTCTCTCTCTCCCCCTCTCTCTCTCCCTCTCTCTCTCTCTCTCTCTCTCTCTCTCTCTCTCTCTCTCTCCCTCTCTCTCTCTCTCTCTCTTCCACGCACACAGTTTATATAATATATATATATATATATATATATATATATATATATATATATATATATATATATATATATATATACATTATATATATATATATATACACACAACATAATATATATATATATATTATACTATATATATAATAATAATATAATACATACACAGGAAGGTACATAGAGTTTGTGAGGGTACATAACATTGTGTTTACATTCTTGTAAAGCCACAAGTTTCGGGCAGGAAACGTTCAGGCGTTTCGGGTTAGTTGTTTGTGACAGTTGATTGATTGACAGTTGAGAGGGGGCGGGCCGAAAGAGCAGAGCTCAACCCCCGCAAGCACAACTAGATGAATACACACACACACGCACGCACACCTAATTACACTTAGGTAATTAGGCTGGCGTATTAGCACCTATGTTGCACTCGCATATTTTTTTGTTTAGGCTGCCGACGGTGTGTTGTGCTGTGTTACCGGTGGTGTGGGTGGATGTTACCGGTGGTGTGG